CTGGGTTCTTGGCTTAGGGGAGCCGGCAGTTTATTTTTTCTCCTGTTTGTTAATTTGTTCACTCTCCAAGGCAGGGAGAATGGCTCCAGGAGTGTGACGGATCCTACTTCTGGCCCAGGGGACTCAGCAGTTGCTGAAGCCGGTCTGGGACCCAGTGCAGAGCAAGGAGGTAGATGGGAGAGAGGTTTTTCCATAAGGGGGGTGTTTTCGATCTGTGCGGTAGGCTGTATGCAAATACTTATCTTTCACCGATCCCGGGCCGCTTCTCACTGGTTCTGGGTGGCGGTGTAGACACTCTGGCACTGGGTCTCTCCTCGTGCGGTAAACTCGCCTCCAAAGCAGCATTGCTTGCCTGCCTCACAGCTCACCCTCGAGCTGCTCAGGCCTCAAGGGCTCAGGCTCTCGTTGGGTCAAGTCTGGCAACTCCTCGCTGCTTCTGAACCGTCTCTCCCTCCCCCTGTCACTCAGTCCGGTTCCTCAACTCTACCTTTGATGTTCAGGGCTCCCAGATTGCCATATATAATCGATTCACTTGTTTTTTCGGGTCTTTGTTGTAAGAGGGTCCACCAGAAAGAAGCATCTGACTACTCCGCCATCTTGGCCTCGCCTCCCAAGACCGTCAATCTTTAAGGAAGCTGACTGCCACATCTTTCTCCCATGAAGCGACTGGTGGGTTTGAACTGCTGGCCTTTTGGTTAGCAGCCAAGCGCTTAACCACTGCGCCCTCAAGCCTCCTTAAAACCAACAGACCTCTCTAAAAACCAAGTATTTATAGCTTTCCAGATTCCCTTCCTGCCCTGGGCAGTGTACTTCTGTACTTTTGCACAGAGTTGTAGTCAGTGTTGGGTCTTGTTTTCTGATAGGTTTGTGTATCCTTCCCCATGCATGGGTGGTTGTGCACCCCGTTTGTACTTTTGTCTGAGCAGGCAGGCAGTGATGTCATTTGAGAGGTTTGGGGATTGCAGACTGCACCGGGTGACACTGTCAGAGGGGATGACACCAAAAGGACTGTCTATAAAATTTCTGTGCAGCGTTTTAGCAGAAATTTATTATTTTTTACAAAAACATTCCTGTAGTTATAACAACAAAAGTATTTTTTGCAAGCCCAGCTTACATGTATCAGTATATCTACAAGGCTAAAACTCTACGTTAATTTACTTTTTGAATCTTCTAATGCACTCCAGTCAGAGCTGTCATTATTACCAGGTTATAATGATGCTTCAAATCCAGTGGTTTAGTCTGCACTTGCTACAAACACGTGCTGTTGTTTTCGTTGCTGCCAGTGTTTTTAAAGTCACTGATTTGTCAAATTTTCTGGTGTTTTAGCTACAATATTGTGGTAGTATTTGTGAACCTATATCAGTAACTTTTTTTTAGAATGAAATAGTAATTAAAGGAAAAGGAGTGATAATTTGGGAATTACGGTTTACGAGTAACAGTACAAAAAAACATTGCTAAGGATTCTGTATGGTCTGGTATCAGAGGAGGTCTATGGCAGAGGTGACACCATGAGTTACTGCCACTGCAGGCAGGTATCTATTGTTATATGCTGTGACTTCTAATGTCACTGTGAGGCTATTTATCACAGATTACTATTAATACTTTTTGCAGTGTATTCCCCCAGAGTGGGATCTTTTTGGTCTGTTTTGTTTTTGTGGGGTCGGGGCAGCTCTTGTTGACATTGAAAGGTTGATGTCTAGAAAGGTGTCCTACATTTATGATCTAACCCTATTTTTTAGGGATGTCAGTGGTTTCTGCAGAGAAAAAAGGATTTGAGTGTAATGGTTAGCCAGACTAAGTCTGGACACACAGCTTTTCAGAGAGTGAAGAGAACTCTGCTTCTGCCACTACAAGGTGGCAGTGGCACCCCAAGGTGACTGTGTGGCCACCCTGAGGACCAGTGGACTAGGCCACAGGGATGGACATAGGCTGCCTTTCTCTGGCACCCCAGCCTGTGGGGGTTGACTGTGGCAGTCAAACCTTCCCAAGAGCGTGCACCTTCTCTCCCACTTTGTACAGATGGTGCTTTTAGTCTGTGGGGAGGACTTAATATCCTTGCTGCTGGGGGTGGGATAAGCCATTATCTTCAAAGCAAAATGAGTAAATCAAGTTTAGAGAACTGTTGACCTAGTGGACAGCGACTACCCTTTACAGTTGTGCTTTTTGACTGCGTATTCTCGGCAGTATGCGCTAGACCTTTTCCTTCCTTTCTCCCTTCCTTCCTTCCCCACTCCTCCCTGTATTTTTTTATTCAAAAGGTATTTATGGAGAATTTATTACTTTCCAGACCCTGGAGACTCAGGAGAGAGAGACAGCTGTTGCCCTGCCAGTGGGGACTGAGTGTGGTCTCCTAAGAACCGAGAGGAGGGGGTCAGGGACTCTCCGGCAGGACTGGTGGAGGGTGTGCCTAGGGGGCACTGGCACGGATTAAGGTGCTGCTGAGAAAAAGAAAATGCCAAGTGGGCACCTGTGGACGCTAGTTTCCCCACCCTCCTTTGTATTTTAAGAGAAGCTTGTATTTTTAGAAGGCTTGTTGCTCGAACAGGACTCCACCCTCCCAAGGGTGCAGTTATTAACAAATAACACACAGCTCGTGATGAGATCTAGTCACACACACCATTGTCATCGGGCAGCGTGATTGGGTGCACACGGCAGGGTGTTCACGTAAGCTGCCATGAGTGGAGTGCTCGGTGCAGCTGAACCGCACTTGTCCTTGTATGCCTCACTTGTCAGTGCACCTGTAAGCAGCACCTCAGGTGCCTGGAGCCGTGCCACCAGTTTCACCATGTGTGCCCACCACTGTCTATTGGTCTGGGGTCCTTTCTGCCCCCTCCTGCTCCTACGTGGCCCATGCTCCAGGCCCGGCAGCCCTTGTTTCCTCTCTGGGCCTGAGTGCTGAGCAGCTGGGGATGAATCCTGGGCCTCCAGGGTACCCAAGGGTACAGAGTAGGGATGTTCTTTCTTAAAAGTCTGTAAAGTGAGGTCACTGTGGACCCGTGCGGGGTGTATCTGCTGCTGGCAAAGCCCTCCTTGGTTAAGAGGACACCCTGCGTTGGCTGCTGTGGTGGTAGGTGCCCATGTAGCTTCATGTTATCTCTTCTGTGGACTGTCCCATTTCCGACATCGTTCCTGTTGTTCCCTTGATCCAGAGACCCCTCCCCTTCCCCACTCCACATCCTGCCACTGCAGAAGTTCCCATCAGTCCTTCCTTGTGTGGGAAGCCTTTCTGATGCCATCACCCCCATTCCATTGCCACCTTCCTTTGCGTTCTTTGCACTGTGCACCATACAGTTCATCAGCATCGTGGAGACGAGAGCGTCTGTGATTGGAAGTCAAGAGAGGTTCCATTTTTTATATATTCTTCTATTTTCTGAGTGTTGTTGGACAACATCAGTAAGCCTCATTCAAAATGCAAACAATTGTATCAAACATTTATTGAGTGCTTACTGGGGAGGCAGACACTGTGCTACACTTTACCTTCTGTGTTCTCATTGAATTCTTCCTATAACTAATGCCATGGGACAGAGAGACGCTAAACCTTAAAGGAGCCCTGGTGGTGCGACAGTTGAGCATTTGGCTGTTACCTGAAAGGTTGGTGGTTCGAACCCACCCAGCAGTTACATGGGAGAGAGACCCTGGTGATCTGCTCCTGTAAAAATTACAGCCTAGGATACCCTATGGGGCAGCTCTGCCCTGTCACATGGAGTCGCTGGGTGGGAATCGACTCGACGCCACCTAGCAACAAACAGGGTAAGAGAAGGCTCCAAAAGACCTTGCTGTACAAATCATGCATATGATCCCAAAAGCTAACAAAGAGAAAGTAACTGCCTGCCTAGGAGACTCAGCTAGAGAGTATGTGCCTGTGTTTTAGCAGTGGTTACATCCATGTGGTGGGAGAGAGGCTGGCGTTTATATCCTTCTTTGTGTCTTTCAAGGACCCTTTTCTTTACACTTCCTTGTCACCCTTGACACCTGTTTTTAGGTGAAGCATGCAGAAAATGTTCAGTATGTAAATACTAAGGTCTCTTCTGTCCTTGGCCCAGGGCTGGCCTGGTTTGGTCTCAGCATTGGTAGCTCTGTCTTTGTGAGTTAGTCTCTTTAGTCCTTGGTGTAGCTCTGCTGCTCTTCATCTTGAAGGTTCTCCAAATGGGCTGCCCTTAGACTTGTGCAGCAGAGGCCTCAGGGATGGCGGATAAGCTTGTCGCGTGCACGGTGGGACCTCAGTTCCCCAGCTGATGAAGGCTCAGCCGTGGCAGCAGGCAGTGGGGACTGATTGGCCCACTTGACCTGCTCCCTCAGCCCAGCAGAGGCCCGGGTGGGCTGGGATCACAGTTGGCTGCTGAGTGACTCACGCACAGCTGATGTGGGCCTCAGCTGATGCGGGCCTCTTGGCGTCTTCATGGGGCTCTGCTCTAAAATGAGCTGCTGGGAACCACAGGCTTCCCTTCACTCAGTGCCCTGCCTCTGCCTGCCACCCTCCAGTCAGTGCCCTGCCTCCTCCCACGGCCCTCCAGTTGGTGCCCTGCCCTGCCCACCACCTTCCAGTCGGTGCCCTGCCTCCTCCCACCACCCTCCAGTTGGTGCCCTGCCCTGCCCACCACCCTCCAGTCAGTGCCCTGCCTCCTCCCACCGCCCTCCAGTTGGTGCCCTGCCCTGCCCACCACCCTCCAGTCGGTGCCCTGCTCCGCCCGCTGCCCTGCACACAGAGCCTCCTGGCCTGGAGCGGGTCAGGGTGAGCGGACCCCAAGCTCAGCTTGCTGGAAGGTAGAGTCTGTGTGTGGCTGGCTAAACTCAGAGCCGTGCGCTACGTGCTGTTTTTAGGCTTTATCTACAGTGTTTTGTTATTTTATGGTTCTTTTTTGGTAACTTTTTATTGTGATAAAATTTTAAGCTTACAGAAAAGTTGTAAGAATAGTACAAAGGAGTCTTGTATACCTTTTACCCAGATTCACTGTTAACCTTTTGCCTCTTTATTCACTCGTGTACGTTCCCCTCCACAGGTGAATGTGCACACACGCGGACGCACTCTTTGAGCCATTTGACAATAAGCTGCAGACCGCCTGCCTCTTCTAAATATGCTGGTGTGTTTTCTATGAACAAGGACATTCTCTTACATAATCACAGTACAATTATTTACATAAAAAAAAAAAGGAAATTCAGCGTCGATACAATACTGTTAACTCTTCCACAGTCTATGTTCTAGTTCTGCCCATATTCAGATGTGGCCTCACTAATGTTAGAGCTTGATTTTTAAAGAAGATAATCCTGGGGAGCGTGGGCGTTCTCCCTTTTTGGCGAGCAGAGCAGGCAGGTGTCTGGGGAGATGGCGTTACCAGCTCTTGTGTCTCCCCTAGAACCTGAGGGCTGAGAGTGTCAGGACCCACACTCGGCAACATGTCAGCAGAACTGGAGACGTCAGAAGGGCTGGATGAGTCTGAGAAAAAGAGCTCTGGAGCCCTAGAGAGGGAGAATCACACCAGGTGAGCGGTGCGAGGCCTGCTAGGTTCCATCAGGGTGGGCTTCTTACACTGGAGGTACACTGGGGTGCGGTCTGGGGCGGGGCCACGGGACCAGCAGTGTGCATAGCTGGCGTGGTTGGGACCACAGAGACAGCACGCCCTCTAGGCCGCTCAACACTCTCCCCATGGTTCTAGGTGGTTCTCATGCAGCATCTTATCCCGAGGGCGGGACAGGCCTGCTGGGAGTGCTGAGTATTAGGATTGGACGGTATTCCTCATCTTTTTTTTTCTGAGAATCCTAATAGTGTTTCATCTGTGGGTGAGAAAGGGTAATCAGAGACCATCTATCTAAGCTGGCCCCTTTTCAGCGTTTGCCATCCCTTAAATGTGGGAACAACTCTAACCCTGCTCTCAGACAGGGCTTTTCTTACTGTGGAGGGTCTGCTTACTCTAAGCTTCCAGTTATCAGAACCTGTTCTTCAGTGTTCTTAGCCTCTCATTATAACTCTGTCATTGGCAAAGTTCTTTTTTTATAACTTGAAGTAATCCTAATAATAAACTAATTCTTAGCACGTGGCTGGGTGATATGTGCTAATCTCCTGAGAAGCCAGCACAGGCTGAATCGGGGAGGACAGTTTTCCACACGCTAGCAGACGGGTTGTGTGCATACGATCCCCTCCCAGGTTCTCTGCCTTGTCCTGTGCTGGCATCATTGGTACCACATCCTGGGTAGTTTCCTGAAGCAGCGCAAACACCAGGTCCTGGCCCCAACCTCTCCAGCCTTTATCCCATTCTCATCCTGCCAAGACCTGAGTGGGCTCATCCACATGGGATCTTGAAGAGGCAGGGGACACAAGGTGGAAGGGAGGTTGCCCCAGGATGCAGGCCACAGTCCTCTGCATCCACCCCTGGAGAAGCCTGCGAGCACGGCCCTGGGTTAGAGGCCTTTCTCCTGATGTTGGGCAGCTATGGAAGCACAGTGCCACTCATGCAGGTGCTTCACGGCAGACGCGGACACTTGAGGAATAGGCTGTGCTCATCTCTGTGCCATCTAGATCCTTTGGGCAGGCTGTCACCTCTGTCTGCCCCAGAGTCCTGGCAAGGCCCTGCTGTCACGCTGGAGTGACATTCCAAGCAGTCCGCTCTCCTGTTGACTCAGTGACATAGCAGGGTTGTATTAGCACGTGGCACGCAGCCACACGTGGCCCTTTCCAGGGCCTGAGAAGGGCGAATTCCCACACTTGGCCACCTGTCTCCACAGAATAGCCGACCTCTCAGAGCTCCTGAAGGAAGGGACCAAGGAAGCACACGACCGGGCAGAAAACACCCAGTTTGTCAAAGACTTCTTGAAAGGCAACATCAAGAAGGAGCTCTTTAAGGTACATGCCCTCAGTCCCTGCAAGGATCATGCACGAGACCACCAAAGGGGCCAGGTGGGGGGTTTCAGTCCCGGGAGGAACTCCCTGCCTCCCCAGAGCTTCTCTGGGGCAAGCTGGGCCTTGTTCTGTGCTCAGCTCCTTCCTGAAATTAAGCTGTGGTTCTTGGGGATTAAATGGAGTAACAGTGACATCAATGACACACAAGTGTCCATTTTCCAAAGAACTCACCATGTCATTCCTTAAAAACATGAAACCTTCACAGTATAAAGTGAGGTAACGTGATGAGTCTTTGGGGGCTGGAGGGGTGTGGGCAGTTGCCTGAGCCTTGTCTCCAGCTGCTGGGATGCAGTGGGATCCCACATTGCTGGCCAGCCCCTTCTCATGGTCTCCCTGCTCTGTCCCACAGCTGGCCACCACTGCACTTTACTTTACATACTCGGCCCTCGAGGAGGAAATGGACCGCAACAAGGACCACCCGGCCTTCGCCCCCTTGTACTTCCCCATGGAGCTGCACCGGAAGGAGGCACTGACCAAGGACATGGAGTACTTCTTTGGTGAGAACTGGGAGAAGCAAGTGCAGTGCTCCGCGGCCACCCAGAAGTATGTGGATCGGATCCACTATGTGGGGCAGTATGAGCCTGAGCTGCTGGTGGCCCATGCCTACACCCGCTACATGGGGGACCTCTCGGGGGGCCAGGTGTTGAAGAAGGTGGCCCAGCGGGCTCTGAAACTCCCCAGCACGGGGGAGGGGACCCAGTTCTACTTGTTTGAGAATGTGGACAACGCCCAGCAGTTCAAGCAGCTCTACCGGGCCAGGATGAATGCCCTGGACCTGAACCTGAAGACCAAAGAGAGGATCGTGGCGGAGGCCAACAAGGCCTTTGAGTACAACATGCAGGTACGGCGGGGCGGCAGGTGCTGTGAGGTAGTAGGTGCTGCAGGTGGCTGGGACTGCAGGGCTCCTGCTTGTCTGTGTATCTGGGATGGAAGTAGGGGGCAAATCCAGAGCTTTCTAAAAGGAAATCAACGGCATCAGGCATTAGGAGATACAGGGCCTCTGGCTCGTTCCTGCAGCTTGCTCAAGAGACGGTGGAGGAAACTTAATTGGCCACCAGAGGGCGTGAGCCCAGGAGATGGTGCTTACCACAGAGGCCTGTGTAGAGGCCTTCTGGGAAGAGGGAGGCCCCCCGGCCTGTAGAGGTGTTTGGGGAAAATGGAGCTGCCTCCCTCCCTCACTGCAGGATTCTGGTCTTGAGAGTGGATCTTTTCTTTTTAGCAGGGGTTGCTCAGAAAAGTCCTGCTTAAGTTCAGGGAGAGGTCATTTTAACCAGGGAGAGTAATTCCATTTACAAGTAGCCTTTAGATGGGGCTGAGCCCAGGGGACTGACTGTCCCCAGAGCCACGAGTCAGCCCTCTGTGCCAAGGAGAGTGGGCGTGAGGGAGAGAAGTGCCACAGGCCTGCCAGCCTCTCAGGGTGACACAGCCACCCTGCTGTAGACTCTTCTCCCACGTCCCTATGGGTAAGGAGCAGTGCTCCCAGGATTTTTCTGGGTAAGCACCTCAGACTGGCCAACCCCTTGGCCCTGCCCTCATCTCTCTGGGCCCTTACAGTTTCAGTTCCTGGATGTATCTCCGAGCAGGCCAGCCACAGGGCATGGCGCCTGGGTGGTGCAGGGATGCTCCTCCATGGTGGGCCCTTTGGGGAGGGGCTGGGCAGCACCTCTGCACAGCTTCGTGAAGGGGGCCAGTCTGCACTGAGCCCCGAGAGTCAGAGTTCTGAATGGCTCCAGTGGTCCTCTGCTCCTCAGATATTCAGTGAACTGGACCAGGCTGGCTCCATGCTGGCCAAAGAGACCCTGAAAGACGGGCTCCCTATGCATGATGGGAAAGGAGACGTGCGCAAATGCCCCTACTATGCCGCTCAGCAGGACAAAGGTAGGTCTTCCATCTCCCCAGCTCCCCTCCCAGGTGGGATGGCCACAGCCCCTCTAATGGCGCGTCTCTTGTTGGCACCCCCACATAGGTGCCCTGGAGGGCAGCAGCTGCCCCTTCCAAACAGCCATGGCCGTGCTGAGGATGCCCAGCCTCCAGCTCATTATTGCCGCCAGCGTGGCCCTGGCTGCCGGACTGTTGGCCTGGTACTACCTGTGAAGGACCCCACCCCACCACGCTGGTGCCACCTCCCGCTGTGACCACTGGCCCCACCCCACTAAATGACCACCTCAGGTGACTTTTTTTTTTAATGCTGCGTATGAGAAAACAAGCAGCTAATAAAAGCCAGATGCTAAAGCCTCTGCCTGCCAGCGTCCTCTCTGCAGTCCAGGTGCTGAAGTGGGCTCATGCTGCTCCCTGCAGTCCCTGGGCACCTGGGGCAGCAGCAGCTCAGTGCAGGCCCAGGACACCCATACCTCTGACCCTCCGGGCTCATTCCCTTCTTCCTTCTGGTCTCTCAGCACTTTGGGGGTGGCTTTCCTCTGTTGGGAGTGCTGTGGGAGGGAGCGGGGACCCACTGGGCTCTGCTGCGGGGCTTCTTGTGGGGGCCCAGGATCCCTGTCCCGGGCTGCCAGCCCTCCTTCCTCAACCAGAAAACTCTGGGAGGTCCGTGCAGCCCACGACTGTCCCCTCTGACCTGTGTAAATATTCCAGTACTCAATAAAGCAGACTCTGCAAGCTTCCGCCCTCTTTCTGCACCGGCACAAGTCAGCCCTTAGGTGGTGGAGTCCCTTGAAAGCCGGGGTTGGGGGGTGTCTGTGTGGACTTGTGTGTCACCCTTCAGGATATGGCCCCGCTGTGTGCTCATCTCACTGCCACTGAGCCTCCTCCCTCGTCCCCAGGCCAGAGTCGTTGCATCATCTCAGGACGACCCTGAAGGTGACTTGGGCCTCCAGTGTTCTGATCGCAGAATGCTTTGGGCATTTCCTACGTTTTTAAATTTTTTTATCTAAAAATAAGGATTTAAAAAACCCATAAACTTACGTAACAGTTCACTGATGGTCTAAAATAGAAATGTGAATTTAATAGTTTTATTAATAGAAATCTTTTACCTGTTTTTATATACTGGGGATCTGTAAAAGTTTCACTCAAAAAAGAAACCCGGCTGGGAAGTTTCTTTTCAGGTGCGGGGCCATCATCTCAGCCCAGCGGCTCTGTCTGATGACAGCACCTGCCCACAGCTAGAGGCAGCCCGAGCTCGCAGCGGCTCCAGCTTACAGGCCCTACAGGTGGATGCCGTGGGGGGCGAAGGGGTCCATCTGACGGCCACTCTTCCTTCACCTGATCCCAATTTGTTTTACCGTGTGGTCACTGGGCCGTCCACGCCACGTCAGCACTTGGGGATGTGGACAGACCAGGCAGCCCGTGACAGGCCCAAGGATGCCCCTGCCTGCTCTTATCGCCTGGAACCACCCCCTCCCCCCTGCAAAATAAGGAAGCCAGGCAAGAGAGCAGAGGCCCAGTGTGGGGCAGCGAAGGGCCGATTTAATGAGAAACTATACACTGAGACTGGCCACGACTCACGGTGACGGGAAGCCATGCAGCAGTGGTGTGGGGGGTGGGGGCGTGGCAGGACATAGCAGTGCACGCGAGCTGTTTACAGACCACCTTTCAGGACACACAGATGGGGCACAGGCCCAGAGGGCCGCTGTCCACCAGGGCCCTTCCTCTGCTCTACTACCACAGCTGGGACACGCCAGCCGCTGGGCTCCCAGTCTCCACACAGCAAGGAAACCCTGTGGACAGAGCGTGCAAGGCACACGGGCATTCTTCTCTGCCCCAGCAAATGTGGGGTTCAGAGAGGCCTGGTCAGAAGGGGTCTGCACACTGACTTGCAGGGGGCCGGGTGGGGCCACAGGTGAGTGCCGTCTCATCTAGCCAGGGCCCATTCACTTACCCAGGGGCCAGCAGGAGTGCCATCCTCGACCCTCACCAGGGCCCAGGGGCTCAGGGCACTTGGACAGGGTGTTAACAGTTCCTGGGCTTCAATACCTGAGAGTTCTGAGGTCTAGGGTTGGCAGCCATTACTGCTGACCTTCACAACCCGCCTCTGGCACACAGCACAAAGCATCCCAGAACAAATCCAAAGGCCCCTGCCCTGCTTGGGCCCACTTGATTCCAGCGACACCTGCGTTCTTGGCCCAACAGACCAGAAACGACTGCAGTGGCTACAAGCCCATCCCATGGAGGCCACCAGGCTGGGGGAGACGCAGGGCTGTGGAACTAGCTACTGCTCTGGCTGCTTGGTCCCAGGGAGAGTCGGGACCGAGCCTGTGCCTTGGACGGGAATGGAGGGACGAGGACCCCGGCAGGCAGACCACGAGCAGACCCTTCCCAGCTGATCTCGCTGGCCACAAAAACCACGCAAACCAGTGACACGGCTCAGCGCCCCTGCCACCCGCCAGCCTCAGCCTGAAACCCGACAGAATTCTTGCCAGAAGAGTCAGATGCTTGGGTAGGGCAAGGCAAAGAGGACAGAACATCCTGGGGACCGGTGAGAAGGTTTCCAGCCCCAGTGGGAGGAGGAGCAGGCCACTGAGCACACGGAGCGAAGCACAAGGACCAGACTGACAAGCGGGGTTGAGTCCAGCTCCGTTAGCACAGGCGCTTGTACGTGTAGATGTAGGCTTTGCAGTTGGGGCACGTGTGGGTCACATCCTTGAAGTCGTTGATGAGGCAGGGGATCAAGCAGCAGCCCAGGTCACATCTGCAGCGGAGACAAGGAGATGAGAGACACTGAGGGCACTGGGATCTCCTCCAGGGAGACAGGGCTGGGCCGGCCTCTCAGGAGGCAGGGAGTCTGCAGGCCACCCCCAACAGGCATTCTCCCCAGCCCCCCACCCTGCGAGCGCCGCACACCTACCCCATGAAGCAGCAGAAGAAGCCCAGCACGAAGTTCATCAGGCCGATCTCGTAGGAGATCTTGGTGGTGATGGCCTGCTGGCAGTGGGGACACACCGTCTGCACGGGTGCACCCTCGAAGATCTCTCCCTGCAGCACTGTCACCGTGGTGGCAGCCCCTGAAGGGACCAGGACCGTGGCCGTGTGGCCCCCGGGGCCAGGGTAGGGCCCAGGTGGGTAGGGCCCCGGTGGGTAGTAGCCCATGGCTGGGTGGGGGCCTGGAGGTGGGTAGAAACCTGGAACATGCAGAAGACAAGGCAGAGAGGTCAGTGACGGGCCGCAGACCCCAGAGAAGAGCCGAGCACTGAGCCCAGCGCCCAGGGAGTGAGGCCCGAGCTCTTCCTACCATCCACCTGATTGAGGCCAGTGTGCGCCTGCCTCAGGCCAAGGAGATGTCCACGTGCTCCAGCCCTTCATGGTCCCCACCCATAGGAGCCAAGACAGAGAAGCCACTGGGTCCGGCAGACGTGGCACAGAGCTGGGGATGAGACCCAGTCTCCTAGGTCCTGGCATGATCTGTGGGCCTTCCCACCCCCTCTCCTTACATGACACTGTCCTCACGGGCGCAGCTTTGGAAGATCAGGTCCTGGCCAGGCTTCCCCTGAGCCTGGACTGGAGTTCGGGACTGGCCAACTCCCAGGGGACAGGGAAGCCTATGCAAGAGCCCTGGCCCCTCCTCAGGCTGCACAGTCCTCTGAGCTGCTGCAGGGAGCAGGTGCCCAGGCCTCCCACAGCTCAGTCCCACAGCCCATCCTCCTCCCGCGGGGCCCGGGGCCCATCTAGCACTGCCACACCATGGCGCTGCACAGTGCTTCTATGATAACCTCCCCGCATAGTCCATGGCACAGGAGGCCTGAAGCAAAGGCGGAATGGCAGCTGGACACCCCTCTGGGGGCTGAGCTGGGACCCCTCCTGCCTTACCTGGAGGCACGTAGGCGCCGTCTGGGTTCACGTGGGGGGGAACAAAGCCAGGCTGGGGCATTGGGTGACTGGGTGGCTCGTAGGGCGGGGGACCGATGTCTGCTGGAGGCAGAGGCATGGCTGGGGGGGGCTGCATCACAGGGGGAGAAGCTCGGCCTGGACAGAGAGAAGTGAGCAGCAGATGCTCAGCTGGGGGCCAGCGTGGGCACACTGGCCAGGCAGGAGGTGACTGCTTGAAGCATTTGGGGCCTAATGGAGGGGGACTCAACAGGCGCAAAGGGCCCAAAGCCCACCCGGGAGTGGGAAACCTCCAGACATTGGCCTAGAGCAGATGGGACTCGTGCGTGGCAGGGGCAGTGACCGTCAGGAGCCTGAGCCCTACCTGGGGTTGAGGGGGTTCCACTTTTTTCCTCCAGAAGGGGGGCTGTGGGACCCCCAGGATATGGAGGGGGTGGCTCGTTAGACATCTTCACTGCCTCTCCTGGACCTGGAGGGAAAACCCAGCTGTGAACTCCCAGCCCACCTACTTCCCCGCTGGCACTGGCCGTGGCGCGTGTCCAGCCACACGTGTGGGCAGTTCTCCAGCGCATCCAGCCTCCCTGGATCCTCCGCAGGCGCCCCCTGCCCTTGGGGCTCAGGTGCCTGAGCTGCCACCTTTTACTTCCTTCAATGTAAATCTCCAAGTTCAGGGTACGCAGGAAAGGGGTCACAGCGCTCCCTCTAGGCACTGGAGTGCCCCACCATCCCCAGTGGATGGGCCATCCCGAGCCTTCCTCAGCCCACCTCTCAAGGAGCGACCCTCATCAGTCACCCCACTCCTGTGTGAGGAGGGAGGGCAGAAGCCAGGAGGCAGAGCTAGGGGGCAGGTCCCCTGGTTCAGGAGCGCTGTGAACGCCATCTTGGGCTCCACAGTGGAGCGCAGTTCAGCAACTAGGGCATTCCTCCCCAGACATCAAGGGAGCTTGGAACGTGGGGAACACTGAGGCAGCCATGCAGGAGACACCACCGGCCTCTGAGAAAGGGCCTGCTTATGGTCTAGCTGCGGGGGGTGGAGGTCCCTTCTTCCAGGAAATTTCCTGGGAGATTTTTTACCTCAAATCCCTGGTACTGAGTCAGAGAAGATGGGCAGCTAAGGACGCTTCAGTGTCTGGCCTGGATGGGCAGGTGGTAGTCTTGGGAGCTGTTGCAGGGGAGAACAGAAAGTGCCTTCAGCACAGTGCCCGTGGGACCAGGATCTGGGTACCCCCCACCCCCAGTTTCTCTCTCTCCCTGCCAGCGCCAGTTCACAGCTTTCCCTGTGGGCGTGTGGGGCGCCCAGCCCCTTCTCCCCCGACATCATCCCTGCCCACTGGAATTTCCCCTTCCTCATCTCACTTCCTCTCTGCCCACAGCTGGGCTATCAGCATCTGTCCTCGCCCCCACCCACCCCAGGCCAGGCCCCAACACACCGTGTTCGACGCTTTTCTCCGCAGCGCAGCTCCCAGGGGCTGCTTGGCCCCCTTGTTTATCAGTGAGAGGACAGTGGCCATCAAGGGAGACGCTTCCTCATTTGTCTCACTTCCCACATTCACCAAGCGCCTCCTGCTGGGCACTGGGGCCCAAGCAGCAACACCAGACCCCACTGCCTGGCCCTGGGGTTCCACGCCTCGTCTCCTTAGTAAGTCTGTCCCTCTCATTTGTAGTTCAGCATCTTAAAAGGCTAAATAAACATAGTATTTTGAAGTAGGATTCAGTTACTTTTTTTTTTTAACCGAAGGTAATAAAATAATATGAACTAGGTAAAAAATCCAACAGTACAAAAAGATGATTAGTGGAAGTAACTCTCCTGGTACAGCTAGCTACCTTCCTGGAGCCCCCGCGGTTACACCTCGGATCCATCCAGGGAGTGGGGAGCCTGGAGAGTTAGTAAGTTCAAATATTAAATGTAATGAATCAGAGAGGCAGGGCCAGAAGGGCTTAGCCCAAGCTCTTGGGTTAAACTGTTAAAATAACATTACAGTTTGAACAACTAAAGGAAATGGTCAAAGACCTGAATGTCAGAGCAAAGATTATAAAACTCTTAGAAGAAAACATAGACGTGAATCTTTGTGACCTTCGATTAGGCAATGGTTTCTTAGACATGACACCAAAAGCACAGGCAACAAAAAAGAAAATAGACAAACTGGACTTCACCAAACTGAGAACTGAGCTGCAAAGGACACGACCAAGAAAGTGAAAGACAACCCACAAACGGGAGAAAATCGTTACAAATCGCCTGTCTGCTAAGAGACCTGTATTTAGAACGTATAAAGAACTCAAAGAACCAAATAACCTAGTTAAAAAAATGGGCAAAGAACTTGAAGAGACATTTCTCCAAAGAAGATATACAAATAGCCAATAAGCACATGACAAGATACTCAACATCTTTAGCCATCAGGAAAAACCAAATCAAAACCTCCAAGAGATACCGCTTCGTACTCAGGATGGCTAGAAAAAGAAGACAGTTAACAAGTGTGGGTGGGAATGTGTTGAAATTCGAACCTGCATGAACTGCTGGTGGCACTGTAAAATGGAACAGCCACTGTGGAAAACAGTCTGGCAGTTCCTCTAAAAGTTAAACAGAGTTACTCTACGACCCAGCAATTCCACTCCTAGGCATCTACCCAAGGGAAATGAAAACATGTCAACACAAAAGTTCATACCAACATTCATACTAGGAAAAAAGTAGAAACAACCCAAATATCCATCAAGTGATGAATAAATATATTATCCATAAACATTAGCAATAAAAAGAAATGAAGTTCTGATACATGCTACACCATGGATGAACCTTGAAAACATGTCGAGTAAAAGAAGCCAGTCACAAAGGCCACATGGAGTATAAGTCCACTGATCTGAGATGTCGAGAACTGGCAAATTCACAGAGACAGGAAGCAGATTAGTGACTGCCGGGGCGATGGGAAGGGGAGGAATGGGGAGTGCCTGCTGATGAGTACAGGGTTCCTTTCGGGGCGGGGGGTGAAAATGTTCTAAAACTGACTTGTGATGGTTACAACTCTGAATATACTAGAAACCACTGAATTGTACCCTTTATATGGGCAAGCTGTTTGGTATGTGAATTGTCTCAATAAAGCTGTTAACGTGGAAGCAGAAAGAACACGATCCCAATCCTGTCACCATGTGGCAGCCAGTATTTCTACAGGTCCCTCCAGTCTGCATGGGCTCCGTCCATTTTAACATGGCTGCTGTCAGTTCAAATGGCTGTAAGTGCCTTTACCATCGTGTCACCTGTGTCCCTCCATGATGCAGATGAAGTGACCATCAAGTTTGATATCTTCTGAAAGGAACCTTCTGCTGTTTATTTAACCAACTCCTGTTCCTGAGGCACTGAGGCCAGTACTTGCCGCTTGCAAGGAGAAGCAAGGAGCGCCTGTCAGTAGGGGCAAGGGCACAGAAGCAGGCCCTGGGGCCGCCCCAGGATAGCTCAGCTCAGACCCCACACTGCAACATCAGGTTTTGGGCCCCCAACGTCCACTCCAGCCCCGCAAATCCCGGCCCATCTGCATGAAACACAATCTTCTAACCGACTATGAGATGCGGATGGGACCACAGGAGGAAGGGCTTCCCCAGAGCCAGGCTGCTAGTTCCTGGGAAAAGCGAGGAGGCGGAAGGAGCATGGAGCTGGCCCTAAGTCCTGCCGCTCCACCAAGAGGATCTGTGGCCTCGGTTGTGTCCCAGTGGGACAGGGATGCCTGCCCTGCAGGCTGAGGGTGGAGCAGTGATGACAGTGTCTCTCAGGACCAGCGGCACCCCTAGGGGAACATCCTGGCCTGTGGGACTGATGCTTGGCATCAGCACTCAGGAGACACAGGCTGTCCTGTATTAGAAATAAACTCTGAAAAGCACGCACTTCTAGGGCAGCTGATTCCCAGGGAGAGAGCTCCCCCTCCCCAGGCAGGAGTTAAAGCACAAATCCTCTGGGCCTTGGTAAGTGCCCCTGGCCTTCTGCTCTGCTCCAAACAATCGTTATTCACTTGTGAGAGCCAAGGCCAAGGCCAGGCCAGCTGGTGGCCAAGGCAGGCTCCCAAGGGGAACTGGAGGGCAGGAGGCAGCCACCCCTGCCCACCTGCTGCTCCCATCCACCGCAGGCCCTGTGGAGGGGCAGCAGGATACATACAAGGTGGTCCCGATGGGGCAAACTCCGTTCTCCAGTCTAAACTGTTCTCCACAGTGCAACTGGGGCGGGCAGACCCTGTGCACGCGGTCTTTCTGCCGCCCTGACAGGACCTGTTGAGGAAATACACCCACAAGCTCCAGCTGCAAGTGGGATGTGAGCTCCAGGGAAAACCCACCCAAAAGGACGCTCCCCCTGAGGGCTCCGGGGAGAACCCCTCCACAGGGTCCATTCGCAGCAGAGCTCAGTGGGAGCCACATGCTCTGTGGAAGTCCCCGAGACAACGTTTGGGAAAGGAAGAGATCGATGCTAATAATCATCCTGAAAGGGCCGTTTCTCCTTTCAGGCTTTCCTCTACAGAGGGAGTTACTCATGATGAAGCCTGTTCTCCACATCTGTGTGCGCGCGTGTGCGTGTGCGTGTGCGCGCACGCGCGCACATGCACATGTGCCTCCTGGGAAGGGCCCTCCACAGAGAGCCTTGGCAGCCGGGGGTGGCCGGGGCTGCAGCCGCCTCAGAGCCGCGTTTCCCAGGCTGGGCTAGCCTGCCTGCTGCCTCTCAAGTGCTGCCCATGTGGGTGAGGCCCCAGGGCACTCACCCTCCTCAGTAGCCATGGCACCAGGATGCCAGCTGGCCTCGGAGGGGCTCTTCAGTTCCCCAGGAGGCAGGTTCCAAGCGGCTGGCCAGGAGCAGGGTTTTCTGCTTTGCTGGGGAAACTGAAAGGCAGCCTTCTGCCTCACCCCCAGCTCCATCTGCTGAACAAAGGAGGGGTGGGGGCCCAGGGTAAAACACAAACCCCCTGCTGTGTCCCCTGGTCCCAAGAAGAGAGCAAGGTCAGGCCAGCCTGGAGGACAAGGCCAGGGCAGGAGCTGTGTGTGGGTTACAGGAAGGAGCCCCTTGTTCAGAGGCAGCACCCAGTGAGGACAGGAAGGCCTCCAGAGGCCACCAGAGGACAGCGGGGTGAGGAGGACACAAACAGCCCCACTCCGAGAGTCAAACTCTGAGTGGGACACGTCCCTTTCCAGGAGGCCTGGTCCCCCCCAGGCCTTGTCTCCCAGGACCCGTGTAACTGAGGCAGGTGGCTTCACCCCGCTGGGCATCTGTTTTATCACCCAGCACGCAGCCTGCCTTCCCCAGAGGACCGTGGGAGAAAAGGACACAGACCCCAAAACTTCTTGGAAGCTATAAAAGTACTGTGCAGTGTGAGGTATGACAGCCGTTGGTGGTGTGACTTGCAAGGGATGGAACGTCTGGGCAACACCATTTAGCTGTCCTGTTCTCCCAAGTACCCCAGGGTGGGCTTACCAGTGGGCA